TCTACACACCTATAAAACTTTTGCTTTGTTTTCTATTGTTAATTTATATACATTTTTGTTTTAAGAAATTGCTAAACATTTTCGTGTAGTACTGTACTGTCGATCTCGAGAGCTCTGCTCGTTCAAGCTTGTTCCAACTATTTCTGTCTTTCTCACGCCTAGTGTGTATTCTTTCTATCTTCGCGCAGATTTCTTCAAGGTTACAATTCTAACAAATTGAAATAGACTGTACACCATTTATATTAGCTCTTGTATCGTCCGAATTGTCGGCTGCTGGTCACTTCCTTGTACGGAAAATTGTTGATTATTTCTGAAATTTCCCATTAGGTCCTCATACATACCGTATCAGCTACGTCAGCTATATTATGATATATAACCCGCTGTCGTGCAGGTACATCGAGAAAATTAATCGCTTGCTCGCAACTATATTTGGATTCAAAATTAAAAGGTGATAATATTAAATTAAATTGAAAGTGATATTATGCAACCCTATTTAACAAGGTCCACTCTTTTTCATACGGTATCTATAATGAAACATTTAACTTACTTTTTATCTCTCAAATCCTCTTTGTAAAATACTGAATGCAGCTACTGAATTGCTTATGAATATGAAAAGAAGAGTTCTTTAATGTAAAGACTTTTGTGATCAGTTTCACGTCGGAATAACTTTTCAAACATTGGAGACATTACGAAAATTTTAATAATCTTGTGTACAGGGAACAGTTATTTCTTAGAAATGTACATAGTTAGAGAGGAATTTTCTGATTAAATTCCGTTTCGTCAGCGTTCGAATTAAAGTAAAAATAAAAAAATAGTAGAAATTTATTTCTCGTACGTTCCACACATTCTTGGAAAGTCCATTTATATGTACCTATCCATCGATTGAAACAGCATTGGCAATTCATTTACATTATTTCATTCGGATTTGTGTATTTGGTATTGATTTTCGAAGCTAATACCGATGGAAAAGCTGCTCATGGCTAATATGCATTGTTGTGTAAAAATTTCTCGTATTGTCTGACGAATGTGCACTATCTCAAATCATCGAGTTTTCGTGTTTTATAATTTTTATATTAATTTAATCTCCATATCCCCTAGACTGCAAATAGATGAGTGCTATGCGTTTGGAGCTTTTGTGTGTTTATTGATTTGTGTTGTGTGCCTCCAAATTGTGATCCTTGCAGTTTCTTTGGTTCATTTAGAAAAGGATAAAAATACGGAGGGATTAGAATGAGCAGGAGAACAGAACAGAACGGTATAGAAGTCTAAATGTCTAGAAAAACTTCTGAAACATAAGGAACTTGTAAAAGCAAGAACAAAAGTAAAAAGAAACAGGTGAAGACGCTGGTTAGACTGTTGGCAAATAGTTAGAGATGGGAGATGGCTCTATTTTTTGAGAAATGCGATGAAAAGGTTCAGGTTGGGAAGGAGTAGAGATGCGCGTCCAATCAGTATTTAGACTCACGATCACCTTGTGATGATAATCAGGCTTATTTTCTTGAAAATCCCAATGATGTTCCGGAACTAAAGTTATGATAACTAACATTATTTAGGCATGACGTCCAATCTCATCATCGTCGTCATCATCATCAGGTACTCAGTCCTGAGACTGGTTGGACAGGTATCTTTACTTATTCCTATTCTGAGCTAATCTTCCCATTTCCCTAAAATTAGAAAATCCCTCATCGTTAACTATTTATAAAGGGTAAGCCAATGTAGATCAACCTCTACTCCTTTTAACTTTTGTTTTTGTTTCTAATACGTCTCTGACTAGCCTTTCATGCTTAAGAAGGTGTCCTACAAATCTGTCTTGCGTATTTCTTATAACAGGATATAATAACTTTAATCTCATATTCCTATTCTTTTTAAAACCTCTTCATTTCTTACCATTTCTATCTTCGGTGTAACACCACATTTCGAACGTTTCTAACCTTTTCTTTTCCACCGCGTCCACCGCCCATGTTCCGCACCCGTATGAGAACAGGATCCCATCTAAATACTGTTACGAGTAATAGTTAATCTTAATGATTTGAGTCAACAATTTTAATCGAAATGTGTAGATCGGTACTAATGTTTGTATCAAACGACTGTCTCCTAGTCTTTAGGTATGCCTGGGTTTTAGTATAATTCCCAATATTTTTCTATAAATCCTTCTAAATATAAATAATCGGTAAGCAATATTGTAACTTTGAAACACTTAACAGTATGCAGTAGATTCGCTTTTCTTTCGCATAAGAATATTATGTGAAGATGTGGTAAAAAGAAATAGCTTTTAGATCGTCTCCGTTCATGCATCAGCCCTGAATGCATACTGGATTTCATACATGACATGACCGGAATGTAAATATTGTCCGTTTCAGATCAGGGGTTTTCCTTTGTGTCTGCTCTGTCAATAGCAAACTACCAACATTTCAAACTAACCTTAATAACGTGTAGATGTAGGACGATTCAAGTCTCGAAAGACAAAGGAAAAGCACAATACAAATGAAAACTTTTATTTGAAGATATTTTCTCCATTTTTTTCTATTCTTTGATGCATTGTAATTGTTTATAACCTACATATTTAATTGATTTTATCATTTTTCTGCTAATAATGTAACTACTTAATAAATTAAAAAAGTTACTGATGAAGTCGCAACGCCGTAACGAACTATTCAATAATGACAATCAATCTTTTTAGCCAAATATCGGTGATATGTGTGATATGATATTGGCTAATACTATTTTCTTCAGTTCATCAATGTTTTCGTCTGTTGTTGACGTGCTCGGGCATCCGCACACTCGTTGTCCTTCAATTCGGCCCTTTGAGATTATTTTGTACCACCGATAAACGTTGCTTCGGTACAAGGTAGCATCACCATATTCCACAGTCAACATTCGGAATGCGTTCGCGCACTTAATTTTGTTTTTTATACAAAATTTGATATAGAGATTCTTTGATCCATTTTTTGAAATAAGCAAATATCGAAGACAAGCTAAAACACGTGCAAGCAAAGCATCTGTTAAAAATTAACTGAACATTTAACATGGCCGAATTTGTCGGTATAAATGAGAGACAGGACTACCAACATAACTCCACAAAAAAGATCGAAAATAGTATACGTAACCTGGGGAAATTCAAAATTCGCGATACTTTTGGAACAGACCTCGTATATCGTGATTCCTATTGTAGTATTCATCATCATCATCATCATAAGGCCGTCAGTCCTAAGACAGGTCAGACACGTACCTCCGCTCTTTCCTATCCTGAGCTAATCTTCGCATTTCCCTTAAATTAGAACATCCCACATCCTTAACTATTTGTGAATCTAATCTAGGTCTACCTCTACCCCTCTTAACTCCTGTTTTCGCCTCTAATATGTCTCTGACTAGACCTTCATGCCTGAGAAAGTGTCCACCAATCTATCTCGGCTATTTTTTATTGACTTCCTTAGAGTCCTCTGTTCTCCTATTCTTTCCAATACTTCTTCATTTCTAACCTTTCTACCCACGTTATCCTCATCATCCGCCTATAACACCACATTTCGAACGCTTCTAACCTTTTCTTTTCGGCCACGACCACTGTCCATGTTTCGCACCCGTACAACGCCGTGCTCCAAACATACACCTTTAACAACCTTTTTCGAATTTCTAAATTAACCGTTCGCGAGCATAGAAGTGACTTCTTTTTATTAAAGGCGACACGGCCCTGCGCTATTCTCTGCTTTACATCCCTACCACTCCTTCCATCCTGACTTATCTGACTTCCTAGGTATCTAAAATCAGCCACTTCTTCTAATTTTTTGTCTCCTATCTTTGTATTCGCTCTTTCCCTGCTTTTTCTTCCCTTGCATATCAGTATTTTAGTTTTACTTTTATTTATTTTCATACAGTACTGATCTGTCATTGCCGCTTCCATTTTATTTAAAGCTATCTCTAAGTCCTCCTTGCTAGATGCTAATACTGCTATATCATCTGCAAATCTAAGCATACAAATCTTTTGCCCTTGTACATCTATCCCTGCAATTGTACTGTCTTTAATGATGTTGATCGCGTCTCCGATGTAGGACAACAAATATCCGCCAAATATCCTCATTACAATTTAACTTTGCGGATGCGGACGTAGATGCGAATATTAAAATTTTTGCTGATCATTCGCAGTTACAACCCTACTTTCTAATGTAGCCAATGGTTTATAAAAAAAATTGTAAATTTCGCTCTGCAAGATAGATTTACGTATAAGATTTTTAAAAGTTATGCAATTGTAGAATTTCACTACAAAACAGGAAAACTTTTATAAACAAAAACAGATCATCTGTAATGTAAAATTTGAATTTAATATTCATAATGGCTTTCGCATTTTTATCAGCAAATTAGTCGCAATATATTACTTTGTATATTATGAAGTATGTGAAGATTGTAATGACGATTCAACAGAAGAAACTGATCGTTGTAACAATACTTTGTTTCTTTTGTTCTAGAGAGTCTTTCGATTGGATTGTCAGGTGAGTTACACCCCAAACTTTTTTAGATAAGATAAAAGAATATCATAAGAAAATTGCAGGCTTTCAAATCCACCTTTCAGAAACCATAATGAATGATATCGCGAACGGCAAAACTAAAACGTAAAAGTAATGATATAAATCAAATGATGCGAGTCAGCAGACGTAAGAATTTGTTCGGTTATTCAGTGCGGTTCGTTCTTCTCGAATGAACTAGTGAAATAAATTTTCTTTGGAAAACCGAATTAACGTTTCGTTTCGTTTTCCTTAATGTACTAAACGTATAGGGTACCTATATACAGTGTTTGTCCGGAAAGTAATAGGACTGAGTCCATTCAAAAAAATTTATTGAGCCAATCGTTACAATTCGTTAAAAACTTTCAAAATAGGCTCCTCCTGCGTCGATGCAACGCTGCCAGCGCGATTTCCAAGCATTGAAGTTGTCATGGAAGGCATTTTCCAGAATAGCCCTAAGAGCCGCGGTGCATGCTGCTTGGATCCCCTCTGTCGTCTCAAAATGCTTGTCTTTCATCGGCCTTTTCAGGCGAGCAAACAACAAAAAAATCCGCGGGGGGCACATCTGGGCTTTAGGGCGGTTGCGGAAGCGTTGGAAGGCTGGCCTTGGTCAGGTAGCTGTCCACAAGAAAGGCGGTGTGAGCCGGGGCATTGTTGTGGTGGAACTTCCAGTCGGCTGCGATGTCTTGTCGGACCCGATTGACCCTTCGTTTGAGTCTCCAGAACACATCCACATAAAAAATGGCGTTGACGGTTTGTCCAGGAGGAACAAATTCATGGTGGACGATGCCTTTCATGTCAAAAAAGACAATGAGCATCGTTTTCACTTTGGATTCTTCTCTTTTTTGGGCGAGGAGACCCGGCGTGTGCCACTCGGTAGATTGCCTCTTTGTCTCGGGATCATACTCAAAGATCCATGACTCGTCACCTCTGATTACGTTATTCAAAAATTGGGGGTCACTTTCACACATGTTTAAATTTTCGGCTTGCACCACTCACAGAAACACATCGCGCGAAAAACCCTGTTCTGACTCTCCAGGTGCTCGGAGACAACTCACCAGCCGCTCGTTCGTTAGCTAGGAATGCCCTCCACCGAATCCAGTCGGTGCGCGCACGCTCCGAAGTGCAGTCGCGGTGGAAGGAAATCAGTCCTATTACTTTCCGGACAAACCCTGTACATAGGTAATGCCAGCGTGTTTTGATTAAAAGCCAGGATAAAAAAGAATTATAACTATATATACCACCGGATAGAAATTATAGAGATCGGCGTATTATTAGTACCTACATGCATTAGGTGCATTAATACCGTCGAAATCATCAATTGTTTAACGAGCTTTAGTGAAAGATAAATTTCACCGAATGCGTTCGCTTTTTATTCGTCTACACAAACTGAAATCATCCTATGTTTCTATAGTTGAAGTTGGTATAGGATAATTTACATTGTATAAGGATTACTGACTTTCATGGCTGTCACTCATCCGCGAACTCTGTAGATACTAGAACGAAATCTCGTCTCGCTATTTCTACTCTGAAAGCCACCCGTGTACACACAGTCATGTATAAAATCCATAGAAAGACACTCTTGATAACAAATGTTACAATCATTTCGAATTGCACATCTAGTTTCGGGATAAATCCGAGGAAGGATTTGTTGATACCAATCGTGATGAAAAATACGGGAAACTACGTGATTCAATAAGCGAATCCTAAAGTTCTCAACGTTGTGAGGGAATTGTGACGTTTAAATGAAATGAGATATCGAATTGAATTCCTTGATCCAGAGATGAAAATTATGTTTAAATTCATAACTTAGGGTAAAGTTGGAAGAGATTGATCGGCGGAAACGTGTTGCTTCTTGCCTGCCTAATATGATGCATACACGTATGCATCCCATTTTTACTGCAAGCACTATTGTTCTGTGAGCTTCATGAATGATGACATCTTGACTACTTTCAAAATAAAGTGGTGCAAGTAAAAATAACAAACATTTAGTGATCCTTGTGGTAGATAATTTTACTTGTTATCACTATTAATTACTACAATATAATGCAGTTTAGTCTTCTGTTTTGTAAATTAATACGAGTCAAAGAAGTCACTTCTATGCTCGGGAACGATTCATTTAGAAATTCGAAGAAGATTGTTAAAGTTAAAGGTGTATGTTTGGAGCGCGATGCTGTACGGGTGCGAAACATGTACGATGGGCGCGACGGAAAAGAAAAGGTTAGAAGCTTTCGAAATAATGAGGATACAGTGGATAGAGAAGGTTACAAATGAAGTGGTATTAGAAAGAATAGGAGAACAGAGGACTCTATGGAAGTCAATAAGAAATAGGCGAGATGGATTGTTAAGGCACTTTCTCAGGCATGAAGGTATAGTCAGAGACATATTAGAGGCAGAAACGGGTGTGAGGAGGGGTAGAAGTAGACCTACATTAGATTACTGTTCGCAAATTGTTAAGGATGTGGGTTGTTTTAGATTAAATGAAATGGGAAGATTAACTCAGGATAAGAAAGAGTGGAGGTGCGTGTCCAACCAGTTTTAGGATTGACGACCTTATGATGATGATGACGAATCAAAACTAATTTTTCTATCCCTCGGGAACAGTATTTTTAGGGAATAAAAATACCCTCTGTACCCTTGACTTCGCTCATGTTAATGTTCTAAATACGTGTGAAGGATCATCGACGATCACATAAAACTAATTTTTCTATCCCTATGACTGAAGGGTGTTGTTCAGACCAGGGTACATTTACCTGCCGTTTCCTTGAACCATTAAGTTGGAAATTCAAATATTCAATTTTGTTGGTTTTTACAAATATTATATGTAAGTGGTTTAAGTATAATTTTAGGGTATCGAACTTTGCAGGTAACAAATATCTTTAAGATAATTTATCTTCAAATACTTAAATAATATTAGAAACCAGTTGGTTAGAACTTTCACCCCTTCCTCTATCAGGGTGGAGATTATGTTATAAATAGGCTGACACACTCATAATAACAGACATCAAAACAGAGACATCAACAGACATCAAATAAGAACAATTAAGACAACAACAGACAACAATTAGTAGCATCAGTGTAATCATCAAGTTCAGGGTCTTCAATATATGTATTAACTGTATATGTGTAAATAAATATTACTAAGTGCAGTTATTCGTGTTATTCACAAGTGAGGTAAATTATTTGCACTTACAATCCTTCCAAAAAATTCGTGTGCTCCCTCATAGGAGAAAGAAGTGGCGCGGCAGCGCAAAATAAATAAAACAGGTGTTCCATCCTTAGTCCTTCCCGAAATCTCAAACTTAATTTTGCCCTTTTCGGTAAGCGTTGTCTTTATAAACGCAATGAAATTAAAGTTAATAAACAGAAACGCGAAGTTTGGTTTAGAAATTGTTAATTAGATTCCCGTCTTAGGGGACCGAATTGGATTTAACTGAAATAATTAGTTAATATTATTAAGTAACTGTTTAAGAGCAAACTTTGTCATTCTTACTATTGTGAACAATCAGGGAATGTCCTTTAAGAGATAAAACGTTCGGAATTCTCGCTGGGCGCTGTTACAATTTAGAAGTACTTAATTGACTTCCCTTTGTTACAGTGGGTGGAAAGTTCAAGCAGTTCTCACCACCGTCAACAAGTCGAACAACTTCGATTCATCTCGTCTATTCGAAAAACCACCCCCTTGACAAGGCTTCAATCGAGTCAACGCACCACCAAAACGTGTGCAGTCTAAACGACAGAGACGTACAACAAAAACAAAAATACAAGTGTCATATTTACTTACATGCAAACATACATACATTATGTATACTATATGTTACTTGTGATTTTAAGATATATGAATGTGTATCTTAATGTTTTCGGCCCCCGTGAAAGGTAACAATTTTGCACACGTTTCAGTACAGTAGAAGGGGTCGATTTAACTTTTTCGCTCCACCTTTCTCTTTTATATATCTATTTGAGTTTGCGACAGCCTCTCCGAACTGCACTGTATTGTAAAGCCGGTAGATATGGCGGAAAAGTTTGTGTAAACATCTCCTTGCATTCGTGGGTATGAGTGGTTCAGGAGAGGCGGATAAGACGGACGAAATGTAGTCAGAAGGGTAGTGAAAAATTTCTTTGTGAGATATACTGCCTTAGCATTTTTAAAGAAAGATACAAAAACTTTATCGAAACAGAAAGATCTGAAATAGAACCGATATTCTCCTAAATGTTAAGGTATTATTTAGAAGTTTTTTGTGAATTCTAGAAAATCCGTTTCAATCTCTTTGTTGAAACGCCTTTTCGACTGGAAAAATAATGGAAAAAAGTGAAGGGTGAGAAGATCGTCTTGTATTTTGTTTATGTACTGAGCAAAGGAGTTGTCGCAATTATGTACAATTAGTATGCAATTTACCTAATACTTATGTACATGACGGAATGATAAGAAAGGATTTTTTTCGTGTTAAAGACCCTTTATTGATGTGATATGTGTTTTGGCATACCGTCTGTATGTACCGAAGGATTGGAAATAAATGTGGAATTAGAATGAAAGATTCGTATATATATATGTCAACTCAATTTTTAAATCCACCGAGTCCTACAACCATGTACTATGAATAAAATTATTTATTGTTTTTTGAAGTTAATCGCTTCTGTCGTATTATTAACAAACAAAAAACTGACTGACCAATCTATAGTGCTATATTAAAAAACTGTTATCTATATACAAATATTTTTGATGACTTAGAAGAAAAGGGGATGACTATTTTTTAATTTTTTACTCTTGGTCACTATACTTCTACTTAAAATTTCTTTTTTTGTATTTATGTTTTTCGACCCAAGTATATACAAATTTTAATGCAATTAATTTTTTAATTTATTTACATAACTTATTTGGACAAATTTTCGTAGAACATTCTTTTTAATTACATTTAATCTTCATTAAACAATTATTTTGTCCTTTGTTTTAGATGCAAACTAAAAAAGAAACAGACAAAGAAGATTTTTTATTTTTGATGATTAAGAATCTTGATCAAAATTTGGTTTATTCATAGATTCGGAAAAACGTTTGCTGCATAAACTAAGAATTTATTCTAGTCAATGGATTTTCTTGATGATGGAGAACAGGAGAAGATGGCCACGCTATGTAAGTACCTTTTTTCTATTTTTGCTCTGGACTTCTTTAATGATTTCTCGTTTATGACATTTATCAAATTTCGCTCTCATACGATTTGCTACATGCAATTGTCGCTTACTTTACGATGAGGCAGAAGTAGAAGCTTTCTTCTTCTTTCGCATGCGCGTACCGTCTCGTTTGTACCTATTCTTGATCGCAAAAGACGTTCGACTTTATGTTTATAATACAATTAAAAAGAACCAGATAGGAAACTTTTGCATTTGGAAATTTAGATTTTCAACGTTTTCTACTAAAAAAGAATATTTGATTATAGATTTTTTATTAACTATACGTATGTATGTTGTATATTTCTTTATCTTGTTAGCCTTTGATATTGAGTCTTTATTATAAACAAAAGATGGTTTCGTATGATTACGAAGTATCTATCTTATGAAAACATGATCCTTGATGAGGCAGAAGTAGAGGCTTTCTCCCTCTCTCACATATGCGCACCGCGTCGTTTGACCTCTTCTTAGTCGCAAAAGAGGTTCGACTTGACTTAATATTGAGTAGAGATGTTTATAATACAATCAAAAAGAACCAGATAGGAAATTTTTGCATTTGAAAATTTACATTTTCAACGTTTTCTGCTAAAAAAGAATATTTGATTATAGATTTTTTATTAACTATACGTATGTATGTTGTATATTTCTTTATCTTGTTAGCCTTTGATATTGAGTCTTTATTATAAACAAAAGATGGTTTCGTATGATTACGAAGTATCTATCTTATGAAAACATGATCCTTGATGAGGCAGAAGTAGAGGCTTTCTCCCTCTCTCACATATGCGCACCGCGTCGTTTGACCTCTTCTTAGTCGCAAAAGAGGTTCGACTTGACTTAATATTGAGTAGAGATGTTTATAATACAATCAAAAAGAACCAGATAGGAAATTTTTGCATTTGAAAATTTACATTTTCAACGTTTTCTGCTAAAAAAGAATATTTGATTATAGATTTTTTATTAACTATACGTATGTATGTTGTATATTTCTTTATCTTGTTAGCCTTTGATATTGAGTCTTTATTATAAACAAAAGATGGTTTCGTATGATTACGAAGTATCTATCTTATGAAAACATGATCCTTGATGAGGCAGAAGTAGAGGCTTTCTCCCTCTCTCACATATGCGCACCGCGTCGTTTGACCTCTTCTTAGTCGCAAAAGAGGTTCGACTTGACTTAATATTGAGTAGAGATGTTTATAATACAATCAAAAAGAACCAGATAGGAAATTTTTGCATTTGAAAATTTACATTTTCAACGTTTTCTACTAAAAAAGAATATATGACTGTAAATATTTATTACCTATACTTTTGTATATTTCTTTCTCTTGTTGGTCATTGATATTTCACTTTCAAAATAGTCCTTGTTATAAACAAAAGATGATGGTTTCGTATGATTACGAAATTATGACTTAAATTTATCTTATAAAACATAATCCTTCAGCGGTCTCATGTACTGTTTTGTGAGAAGAAACGACTTCTACTTTTTGTATTTTGTTTCTTGGAAGTCAATCTTAATTCTGTCGTTTTCTCAAGCTTGTACCTATGGGAAATAATGTCTGAGGAAAGTTATGTTCATCCATTTCACTTAACTTTGCAAATAAACGCCAGAATAGGTATTAATTAAACTAATAATGTACCAATAAAAAGAACGAATCCTTTCATCTTCGATAATCAATAGCTACATTTATATATTTCATTTGTTTTTGCTTCTCTTGGGTCAATATCAATAATGCATTACAAATTTGGACGGACAATTCTTTAGCCCATATGAATGAAGTATTTTGGTAAATATTTTTTGGAGTAGATATATTTTGAACATCTTTGAATATATGAAACCTATAATTTCAGACAAACATTCAGTACCTACAAACAGGGGCGGCTTTTACGGGTGGCAAACAGGGCAGTCGCCCGGGGCATCGCTCTTACAAGAACCTCGCGCACTCGCGCAACATTCTAATTAGAAAATATTAGTAGACACTACTAATGTTTATTTGAATTTCTTAATAGTCTTAAAAGAAGCCGCAAATTTGCTATCTTTGTCTTTATCAATTTTTTTTAATTTTCGATAAACAATTTTAAAACTGTAAACTTATTTATGAATCACTTTGCATTTTTCAAGTATCATCATTAAAATTAATTCCACAAAGA